TCGGCAACGATTCACGATCCTGCCCGTATTGTCATTCTCAATTGAGACAACAAAAACATCAGGGAGATCAGGAATCTTGACCCTGAGAGGTTCCCTATCGGGACCCTTCGGGAAGTACTTGTTCCTCCAGGACAGTACAACCTCCGCATCATCACAGTACCAGAACGTTGTCTTGGTATCACTTCGTCTTGGGAGCCTCCTGAACAAGGTTGTTCGACGATCACCAAAGTCCACTCCGACATCCTCGATCACAGCCCCATTCGCGTCAACAGTAGGGGTATCCCCCTCTTCATCCTCAACAACCGGACCAGCAGAAGTACGAGGCGTCATGGGCTTCGTACCTGGTGGTGGCTTCTGATGAAGATACTTGCATGGCTGAGCTGTGCACTTGCCATACATCCAGTCGTAGCAGTATCCAAAGTACATTGGCTTGTCCCTAACGGGCCGATCGCCAGTCCTTGGAGTAGAGTGCGGCAGGATTTCTCGGGCTCCTATCGTGCTCGAACCTGCAGTCCCGACCATGTTGACATTTACCTGTCTTGGCATACTCCCAGCAGGACCGGTCAGCAGGCCCAGCAGGAGACTGTCTCCTTGGCGACTTGGGAGACGGCGTGCGCTTGTCCCTCTGACTGCCTCTTCCAGCTCTGTCCCTTTGACTGCTTCTTCCGGGCGAAGATGATCTTGGTTTCCCGTTGGGTTTCCCATCCCTTCCGGACCTAACGGACCTTGAAGGGCTGGGATCACTCTTCCTGGCAAGTGGGTCGTACCGTCGCACGACACCGGGAGCACCAGGATGTCGATCTCTTTCACGGGATTGAGAGCCCGATCGTGACCTCTGCTCATGAAAGGTCTGGTACATCTGAAGCGTGTTCTGTCGCTTTTGCCATCGTTCGACACAGTCCTGACAAGCCTTATAAAGCCACGCGAATGACCTAACGGTCACATCGCGATCCCACCTCTCGATGTCAGGCCGCATACAGCGTAGATGACGGGAGTCCTCCAGTCATCACCGGGACTCTGGATGTCGGCATGGGCCCTATTACCCCTACCATCTCCCGGATGACGGCCCGTGTTCGGAGAGACGCTCCCGCTATCGCGGATCGGTCTTTCCAGACCCGGAGAGATACTCCCGCTATCGCGGATCGGCCTCTCCCCCCTTGATTGCCGGCTCCGGACCTCAGATCCCCTATCGGGGACGGCAGCAGGCCTCGGGCTCCTATTCCTACCCACATCCCTATTGGGAGAAATAGAAATGTCCCCCCTTGCACGCGCGCGGGGACCATCCCTCGCACGCCCTGGCGGTGAATGCGACCTGTCAGGCAACCCCCGAGCCCTCCTGCTTCTGCTGTCGGACCTCTCCCTAACGGGATTAATGGGGTGCCTATCCGCGCGAGAAGGATCGACCCTATCGGGCACATTCGGCAAAACATAATCAGCCAAACCAACATCTCCGCCTGGTCTCACCGGAAGGCCAGTACCTCGGCCGTCACCTTCTCCGGGTGTGGGCGTCGGAGACCTGATCCTACGCAAATGCACTGTAACCAATATTCCGTCTCTCTCTGGGTTGTTGAGGAGCCTCATTAATCTGCTGGACACCCTGAATGATGCCAGCAGCCTCGTCAAACTGACCCTCCATTTCAAAGAGCTGAGACATGATTCTGTTGTTCATTGCGCTAAGGTTACGCACGTTACCATCGATAGCGCTGACTCTCCGCATAACGCCTTCAAGCGTACTCCGGAACGAGCCGAGTTCTCGCCTAACGGCAGGCTGCACTTGGTCACTGCTTGCAGGAAGATTACGGATCTGTCCCTGGATGCCATCAACGACCCGATTCACAATTGCCGATCTCGCTTCATACTGTTCAACATGTGATTTCACGGTCTCAAACCTTGAAATGATGTCGTCATGATCCCGACGTTGACGTTGAATTCCTCGAGCCAGATCCTGGATCTTCCGATTGACCTCGTCAATAGCCTCATGCCAGTCCTGCGGGGAATCATGTTCTGATGGTCTATCGACCTCCTGAGATCCCCTTCCACTTTGCAGCCTTGACACTCGATTAGCAAGACGGGTGTGCTCTCCATTGATCCCTTCAATAGATTTAGAGGCCCACTTGGCAAATGTCTCGTGTTCAAGGAGAGCTTTCTCGATCTTCAGGTTTAGTTCCCTGAAATTCGCATCCACCACACTGCCGCTGGCCCTATCGGACGGAAGCGCGACAGGATTCGAGTTCCATACACCTGCTGGTGTCCGCATCCCGACGGTTTTCTCTACCGAGAACATCCGTTTCTCAAGCTTGTCCATATCCTTAAGGATCTCATCCTCGGAAGCAGCATGGCTCCTGCGGGTAGCCTCACTATTCTCCTGAATCATCTGGCGAAGCCGGTCAGTCGATGCCTCATTGTCCTTGACAGATTCATGAACCTCGTGGGACAGTAGGTTGATCCTCTGCTCCACGACCTCGGCTTGCTCGTCGATGGCTTGCCTCACAATGGCCTTGCTGTCGGGAATAACTTCCCTTGCGAACCGTTGAACTATCATTCGCATCCTCCTGGCATCAGATTGAGTCGCGATCTCAGCTGCCAGGCGATTGACCTTGTCCTTCGTCTGTTGACTCTCGTCGCTCCATTCCCTTCGCATGGAACTCACTTGACCGTTCAGTAACCTGATTTGGTCAGCAAAAATATGGAACGCTTTCGCGACTGAGCCAGAAACCTCACCTCTCTCGAGCATCTCCTGGATGTGCACATCGAACACCTCCTTTGCCCTAGCGTCACCTGATTCACCGGAAGAATGAGACCTGAGTGCTGGAGGAGTCGATATCTCGATCCTCTCAGGAGCCCCACTAGCTCTAGCATATCTTCTGGGGTCATCCACAGGACTATCACCAATCCCAGATGGCCTGCTAGGAATAGACCCCCTTTTACGGCTATCGCCGGAACAGGGATCAACATGAGACGCACGAGACTCGGGTGTAGAGTGGATGTGAACATCAGCAGGATCGGGCATCTCCTCATCCTGCAGAGCCAAGCCCATTGGTGAGGGGCTAGCCCTCCTCGCCTTTGACCTATCGGTCTCAGCGGCGAGAGGTGACGGTCTTTTCGCAGAAACACTACGTTCCCTGGCGGTCGAGCCCCATTGAGGTGTGAACTCGTTGCTAGACCTCAGAGTTTCAAGGTCACTGGTATCTCGCCCTAACGGGCTAGCGATCGACGGACGATCTTCGATCCCGAGTGCATCGGCAAGCCGACCGTCTCTGGCACCTGTCCTAACGACATCGGCAGCCCACTCAGTGATCCTCGGCGAACCAGTAACCCGGTTCGAGTTCACGTCTCTCTGACTCAACGGACCTCCAAAGGTGATGTTGGGAAAAGGGGGAACGTTCGGGGTATCACCAATCGCCGGGGGACCTACCGGTCCCTCACGGTCATGGATGGCCTCCAATCCCCGAAGAACTTCCCGACTGTCCCTGGCTCTCTCTCTCTCGCTTCGGGCATCCCTGTCAACGCGAAGGTCCCTGGCGGCTCCACGAGAGAGGCTCCTGGGCCTCGCAGCGTCACGGATCCTAGCATTTCGTCGTGGTTGGTCCTCCTCCTCATCACGGCGATCCGCAAATGCGGCATACTCGTCATCATCATCGACCTCAAACTTGGCATCGGCGGGACTAGTCCTTGCAGTCGCACGGTTGCCTGCATTTCGGCGCGAATGGCTCTCCTCCTCGTCCGCAAAATTGTAACTTTCGCCATCATAAGACTCAGATTTGGCAGTAATAGGGTTGGGCCTACCGGCATCAGATCCCTGCTTTGAGCTACTGCCCCAACCTGCGGTTGATTTCAACAGATCATCGTATCCGAAGTCCGTGAATTTCCGCTCCTCGTGCTCATCAAACTGACCTGGATTTTGAGAACCAATGGATCGGCCCGGGATACCTCCCGGAGCCAGAACCATAGTCCCTGGTCCCTGCGGCCTATTCTCGAACTCATCCGAGACCTGCGACTCACCTGGAACAAGAGATCTCGGAGGTCGAACCGGCATGGCCTCCGGGTCATCCGAATGAGGGCGGGCCATGTCCATCGCCATGCTGATGAAGTCAAAATGCCCACGCCTGTGACCTGATTCAGAGCCGCTCCTATCGGAGTAAACCCTTCGCTGCTCGTCATCAGTGGCCTGGCGGAAAATACGATCGTCTCCATCGTCGGCGTACCTGCCACGGCTCCTGGGTGTATCCCTACCGGGATCTTCACCCCTGCGGTCCTGACCTGTCGAACCTGCTTCGAAATCCTCGTAGTCATAGTCCGGTAGGTCCTCACCTAGCGGAGGCCACCTAGGATGGCCTCCTCATCCACGACGCTCCTTCGAGATCGTGGGGTCGACATAGAGCTTGTAGTTGATGGTCTCAAGCGCGTAGGAAAGTCCTACGGCTGATAACCTGTGATTCGGGCACGAGCCTGTGCCCAGGCAATGGGTAAGTTGGGGTAAACAAGCCACAAAAGAAAGGTTCCCCAAAAGCAAACCAATCCCCGGTCCCAAAGATCAGGGTTTCCCACACACCAGAGAACAACAACCAAAGGAAAACAAACCAAACAAGAAAAGGGTTAACCCGCAACCTTGGTCGACAACAGGCCGCACGACTGGTCCCTACCAACCTGGCGGCGGCCCGAGGTCTCTTTCTCCCCCGAGATGCCGTCGGTCGACGCAGGGGTTCGGCGACGCCCATTCGAGGCGCGACGGAACCCAAAACTTGAGCCAAAACACCACAGGTCGGTCACTAACGCGACGTCCCTGATGATGATATGAACCATGGCTAATCACATTATTTTTGTTCTCGCTTTTTTTTTGAGTTTTTCTTTGTTGGGGTGGTTTTAAGGGGAAGCTCACCATTCTTTTAGTGTTTCCTCTTTTTTTGCGGGGGGGGGGGGGGGGGGCAAGGTGGGGGTTCGATGAAAAGGCGCTTCCCGCGGTCGCCAAACCCGCCGCTCTGCCGCCTCTGAAACCCCGCCTGGAGGCCCTCCGCGCGAGCCTCCAGAAACTGCTGCTGCTGCCTCTTGCTGCGGAGGCTCTCGTCCGGCAGCCCGGCCACCTCTCGGAGAGACGGTTTTTTGGTTTGGATCCTGAAATACTTCTAGGGGAACGCCCCAAAAAGTGCGTCTAGGGGACGGCCACAAAGCGATTTTCAGGGTCAGGGGGAGGGGGGGTTTGCCCGGAGGGTTTTTCCTGCCCCAAACAGTGCTCCCTCCAAGTTAAAGGGGCGGGGGCGGGGGCCCTTTTGTCTTTTGTTTTCCCCAAAAAAAAGGGAAGGTTAAAAAGGAGGATCGCATGTTGTCTTTTGCTTTCCTGCAAGAGTGTACCCTCCAATCTCCCCATGCCCAAGCTACCGGGAGCTGTGGGAAGAAGGTGGGGGACGTCGCTTTTTTGCTTCCCGATCCGCTTCGGCACGTCCGCCTGCCGTGCAGCAAGCTCCTGTGACTCCAGTCTCTTGAAGAGACTTCCCTCGTCACGGGCCAGAAGGTGCGTTCGCAGCCTCAGGGTTCAGCCTCACACTGGTGGGTAGCCCGGAACCCTTTTTGGTTGGGTTTAACAGGCCAAGGGAAAGCCAACCATTTTGGGGTCCCATAACAAAGACACGCCCGCATGAGTTTGTACAGCCTACACGGGCTTCAGTCCCGTGTTGCTTCACACGACCATAAAGAAAGGACACGCCCAGCTGCTTTTCATACTGCGGGGTCGAAGGGATACCAAAGAAAACGCATGCTGCAAGCTGCCAGAGGGTTCCGCAACGATTTCTGGGAACCCGGGTCAATGTTGACGCAGGATTCATGATCCCGTCCCATTATTAGGGGGTGTTCCCTCCAAAAGTGGTCTGAATCCCCACTAAAAGGGGGGTGTCCCCCTATCAAAATCAACCAGGGGTTTATTGATCCGGGGGGCACATCGAAACCGAGCTGCCTCTTGTACTGCCGGCTGTACTCCTTCTTCTCTTCACCGTCAATGAAACCCAGCGGGCAGCAGAAGTTGAAGAGGCCCTGGGCTTCTCCAAGTCAGGGACCCAAGACATGGTTCTCAACAAAAAAATTCGGGCCCCCTTGCGGTGGCAAAAAGGATACCACGAGGAAACCACCCGGCCCCCTACTTTGAGGGCGGGAACTATCCTCCTTCTACTTGGATGGATTGCGGCCAGGTCGACAAGCTCTCGAACCCTCTGACGCCTCCTCCATCTCCTGGCTCCTCTTCTTTGAGAGGCCTTCCTGCGTGAATCCATTGACCACCTGAGCGAAAAGAGAGGCAGCAGTTCGCTTGCAAGGTCACGAACGTTTTTGAAACTGGGACCATTGAAGTGACATCCTAAATATTTTGAGAACCCGTCCCTTTGGACCTAGTCGAAGTTGGGGCCCTTTCTGTACAGCCAAGCTCGCATTGATGCAAACAGGGCGCCGTATCTCGAAATCTCAGATTCTCCTTGGATGTGAACACCAGCGCACGGACAACAGGCGGGGCTTTTTCAAGGGGTCATCTTTTGGTTGGGGTTCAAAGGGAACCACTATGAAACCAGCAGTTTGGGGGGGGGGGGGGCGGTAATTTTGAGACAAAAACAAACTCTCGTCTAGCCTAGCAACCTTCCACTCGGCTTCCAGCTCCTTCGCTAACTGGGCAACGTCCGAGTCATCGGACCTCCTTGGACCGTTTTTTGTTCTTCATGGCAACATGGCCTTTGAAGAACTGCTCGCCTGCGGTCAGGCCACACGAACTTGCCGATCTCTTTGCCCACTTTGGTTGTCTCCAGAACTGTCCGGTCCACCACGTAGTCGGCAAGCCGGTTCAGTACCTTCGCCGCCGAAAGCAAACCGAAAGAGGCATCAGAAATGTCGATCTGAGAGGTCTTTCCCCCCGTGAAGGCTGCGCTCCACATTGGGACCAAGATCTGGTCAACCTCCGCAAATGGTACTGACTGGTATGACTGGTATGACTGATGTGCATGCTGACCCCAAAAAAACAAGAAGAACCGCAAATTAACTGGGGGCTCATCCACGCTTGCCACAGACAGAGCTGTCAGCTGCTGTAGTCGGCTTCTCCAGGCCTCCAACTTCGCACTTCGGTCAACGTCCGGCGACCGCAGATGCTCCAGGCAGCTCTGAACCTCGAGCCGCGAAAGTCCAACTGACCCACGTCCTCAGGGCCTCTACTTGCCATGCCATGTGGCTGTGGGTCAAAACCAATGGTACCATTTTGGGATAGGTGCAAGGGATTGGGATGTTCACTGGACTTACGGGAGTTTGACCCATGACCATGCTTGTCTGCCACACCCAAAAAAAGGATACCACATGCGACCCTATGAAGGTTGGCAAATTAGGGGTTCGAACAGATCTCACATACAACCAACCAAATGTGGCTCATGGTCATGATTCCCTTCGCATTCCGTTTCATTCTTGTCTATTGATGGGGTTGATGACCATCCCTAGCAACCCCAAGCCACATCTTTCTCAAAAGCGCCCCCCTCAAATGGCATGGTTCAAAAGCCCGTACCCCCAGTGAACATCCCAATCCCCACTAAAATAGGTTCTAAAATGGGTGGTGAATTCACCAATCTCCCAAAATGGGATCCCAAAACGGTTTTGACCACCACCGCCAAATGGCTTCCCTTCCTTCTTGCGAAGCCATCTTTGGTCTCCAAGGCTTCGCCCTCCGCCCAAAACCTCCCCGCCTCCTTGATGGTGCGCTTCCGAAAGAGGCCGCTGTGCAGCGACGGCCCAGGCTCCGGCAACATGCGAACCACGCGGAAAAGGCGAGGCGGAGCTGGACGCTGGGGGTGCTTCTCCCACGGGGAAACCCGAAAAATTGAGGATGACCCAATTTGGGGTGTTCCGAAAAGGGCCCCCACAAGGAGGCACCCTCAACAAAAACTTGGCTCACTGATGTGTGGAAACAAAAGCAAAGTGTAGGCGAACCGAAATTTGAGGTTGGTTCTGCAGGTGCATCCCTTCAATCCGCTGTTCTCCCACCCAACTCCTCGCCTTTGAGCCCGAACAATACATGTTGTGAGTCTTTTTGGGGAGTTGGTACCCCGTTGGGGTGGCTTTAATGATCCGTTGAAAGACCCAGAAAGTCCGGGGCAAATGCCCAACACCAACGGCTTGCGCTCTCTCTCTCTCGCGCGCGCCGTTCATTTTTGTCGATTTCATTCAGCTCTCAGCATTGCGATTGTGCCGAATGCACAATTAAAGCCAAGGGCTTCCAGACTTGCCGGCTGTCTCATGGACAATTCGAGTTCCATTTCCTAGCACCACAGAGTCAGAGACGGCGAGCGATGGAAGCGCCCGGCGTAGAGGCCAACAGTTTTTGGCCTCGAGATGCGGTGCACGGCACTCTTCGCAGCGCTCCGCAGGTTTTGCTTTTGCCCTGTGAAGGAACGTCTGTGAAACCACAACACGAGAGTTGGCAAGTGGAACTGGTCAATGATGTCCTTCCACAAGGGGCAAACCTTCTACTAGTGCCAATCTTTGTGAAGCCCTCTGCTTCAACTTTGCCCTTACATGCCATTTCGGTAAAGAGAGGCACTGAGAGATGCATGCACTGCGCGGGCATACAGATCTCCAAATTTCACGTGCAAAAAAAACGCAAGCGAGGTCCGAAGTCCATCATTCACAGACCTCGAAATCCTGGCGAAGTGTCGACACGCAGCACAGGTCCCATGCCCCCCAAAGGGTCGCTAGGTGATGGGACCGCACCCGCATTTCCTCCGGCCGGAAACAAGGCAGCCGACAGGTCCTTGAGCAATTCTCATTTGGCCTGGCAAGTCCAGGAGCAGCTTACAAGCGTCGGGTGACTATCCCCATGGTGCTAGTGTGTGTGTGTGTGTGTGTCTGTTTTGCTTTTTGTTTTTGTGAGGAGGGGGGAGGGGGGCTACCCTTGTTGTGGTGGCTTCAATGGGCAACCAAAAGGAAACCACCATTTTGGGGATCACCTAGGAAAACCAGACACACCCGTCTGCCTGCATGAAGCGGCGGAAGCGCGTGTGGTCGGCAATGACGCCCTGATTGCTCCTCACATGCATCCAACTGTTGTCGAAAGTGGCACTGCTCTCTCTCTCTCTCTCCCTCCCTCTCTCTCTCTATCTCTCTCTCTCTCTCTCTCTCTCTCTCTCCCCCAGATCGTCTGTTGTTGCACAGAGCAAACACGTGCCTTGGGTCGCACGGCTCACCGGTGTAGAACGTCATATTTGTAGTTTGGAACCTGGCGAGCCATTTGAGCATCAATATGAGCATGGGAGATGTTGGGCTCGTCCCCAGTTTTGGGACATTTAATTAAAGCTTGTCCCCCACCTCCTTTTCAAAACGTCTAAGGAATCCCCTCCTCTGTTTGATGTCCACCAAAGGGTCCGACCAATTAAAGCCACCCCCAAGTGGATAGACCGCAAATGTTGATGGAACCCAAGCGGCCTCCGCTTGTGGCAGGTGTGAATGCCATCATCGAACTCAATGGTCGAGGAGTTCTTGTAAGGAACTGGAGCGTCGTCCACCTCGGAGCCCGGCGCTACCGAGCGACTGCTTGCCGTCAGAATCAAGGGACACGGAAGTTCCAAAGGGAGTTCCTGGTTCTACTTGCTGCTGCGACATCGGGGCCAACAAGCCCTGAGACATGGAAGGACCCCAGGATGAACCACCCAACTGGTGGCTTCCTTTCTGTGGGAATCCCCCACAACGGAATTTCATGACCACCATTTCTCCTTCGCAGCGAGTCTCGGAAGCCTCGACACAAGGCTCTCTCGGCTGCAGGCCGCAAGGCGAGACCGGAAGGCGTTGGGAGTGTAGGGCATCAAAGGCTTCCTGTCCGAGAAAAAAAAAAAAAAAAACACTCCCGCGTCGGACAGAAAGGAAGGACAGGGGCACCCAGGCCATCAAAATGGAGAAGAAACTCGACGGACCAATAGGGATTCGGACGAAATTATTTTACGGGCAAGAAGGGAGAAAGAAAATCGGAACCCTGCCGGAAAGGAGCGCCGAACTCCGGCCTGTCCATAGAGGCATAGCAGTAGGGCATCTCTCGGAACTGCGCTGCCTGCGAGGGGGCCCGACCAGACGGCAGGCGGCGACTCGAACCCATGCGAAACGCATGGAATTTTAGTTGGAGTGGTACCCCGCCAACTTTCATGTAGGTTCTAGGCATGTTCCCTTGGTTGCCACATTGGAAATTCAAAGTGTCTCACACGGAATGCCAGCAGCGAGTGACACGGATCTTTCTGAATCTGCATTGGATTCCAGCAGGTGAAACCAATGCTGCCTGACAGTACCAGCGAGACTTGTCTTTCCGGTTGGCTGGTTTTGGTGGGTGTCCGGTGGTTTTGGTGGGTTTCTGGTCGTCCCAGTCAAGACCTGGCCCGCCAGCGATCACACGATGGTCATACCCAGCAGGGCGGCTGAACCTCAATGCGGCCGGGGCCTTTTGGGCTGTTGCACTGGCTCGGTCAAAATCTCCATGAGCAGGAACTGAAGAACATGTGGTTGCCTGAAATGTGCAGTTGAGTCTGAAATTAGCGTGTGTTTTGTCTCAATCCTGAAAGAACTAGAACGCGACAACCTGTGGGCTTTGGAAGGTCCAGGCTTGTCTCAATGTCCCAGTGCTCGGTTTGCTATTCTGCACTGACGTTACATCGAGGATACCTTGACACCCAAAACAAGTTGAGATGTTTGCAGCGCACTCCCGGCCTCTGCCGGTCGGCATGTCATGCTGGAAGAAGCGCTCACCCAACAAAACGAAGGAAAACAAAGAAAGACGCCCGAAAGGACACGTGAAACATGTCCGAAAGGCTGCCTTCAAAGCAACCAAACGCGAAGCTTCAAGAAACAAAAACAAAAAAACATGTCCCACAGGCGTCATTGAACACCACACCCCTCGCCCCTCGCCGCCCTTTTTCGCGTCGCATTCCGCTCGATCCGCTCGGTGGCTTCCGATCATCTGCTCACCGCCTGCGCCGGTTGCGGCTGGCGCTACGGCTCCGGGACCTCGCAGCAAGTGCGAAGACGGTGGACCCGGTTTGTGTCAAGGGCTATCTTCGGGAAGCTCCCCGCCTTTATATGGCCATGGGTCAAAATCCAAATCGTACCCCCAGTGAACATCCCAATCCCCACTAAGATCGACTAAAATTAGCGGTGCACCTACCCCAACATGGAACCGTTGGTTTTGACCCACAGCCATATGGGGGTGTTAGTCTTTGGGAACAACCTTTCTGTCGTATCAAGTTGACTATTACAATAAACTCCGCTCGCCTCTTGAGGAGAGGCTCCTTTTTAGTGTGGGGAATCTCGCCTCAAACTCGCCATCTTCCCCGCTCTTCTGAGTCCCGTGCTTGTCTTTCCGACCCTTTCGGTCCCGCTCACGGCTCCGGTCCCGCTCGCGACCTGCCAGCAAATCGCCAAATACAAGCACCTCAATCACTGGAATGGGGCTGTGGGATGCTTAAAAACCAAACTATGTCATGAACAAGGAAGTCATTGGAATGGGCTTGTGGGATGACTAAAAACCAAGTCATGATTAAGGGACCGAGCAACTTCTCAATCTCTTGAATCCGGCTCAAAAACGAGGGATCCCCACAATCCCATTTGAGTCTGGCTCAATTTTGAGGGATCCCCATCACAAAACTGGAACGGCAAACGAAAAGTAGAAACCAAACTGCCATGGTCCACTCCCCTTTCCCGGCCTCGGCTGCCCTTGCTCCGCTCCCGCGAGGCCTTTCGCACATCCGACCTCCATCGAGTCAGAAAAAAACCCAGCCGTTTTGGAAGCTCGAACAAGGCGGGAGCCTCTCCGGCCGTTTCCTCTCCTCGTCTTTTCGGTCATCTTTCTTCTCGCCTTCCTTCTTCGGCCTAACTCAAAGCTGCTGAGAACAGTCAACGCAAGCTCTGAGACACTGAAAGGAACACATAAGGTTCAGTCCGTATGGGCGGCCGGTTTTCAGCTCTTGCCACGGTCACCTTCTGCCCATCGATTTTCTCACCATCCATGTACTTCACAGCATCCTCCAGCCAAGTCGTTCAGAGCATCTCACAAAAGCAGCCGCTCCTCCGCATCTCGCTTGTCCTTGAACGAGATGTACACCTCGCACAGCAACCCAATGGTTTGGATCACGTACACGGAAGCTTTGGCAATGGACATACTATGCCAATCGTTTCAAGAGACTAAAACACCAATGCTCCGCCAAGAAATCGAAAAACGAATACGTCGACACAAACATACAAACATACTTGTTTTTTTCTCAAAATCTACCCGCTAAACAAACGTCGCTGCTCGGGAACGGGCTGCTGTGCCGTTCAGCGGAGTCTCGATTTTGATGATGTGCCCAAAGTCGCCGAAGGCGGCCTGCGGCGTGCATCAGGGAGAAGTGGAGCGGGTCAAAATCCAAATGGTAAATTCAGTAAACATCCCAATCCAACCACTGAAATAGGTTCTAAAATGGGTGGTGCACCTAGCCCACTGGTTGTGACCCACAGCCACATGAGCCACAATCAAAACCCGGTATTAAAATGGTGAACCCAGAACCATGTAAAGAACTAAGAAGGCGGCCGCTGCTATTTATGGCTGGGATTGGCCCTTACTAACCTCCATACCAAGACTTTGATTGTGGCTCAGATGGGATTCGTTCGGTCTCTACGAGTCCTTGAGTGTTTGGAGATAGGGTCATGTACCCACCTTCGCCAATGACCCGTTCAGCGGTCGTGTAGACGGCCTGAAGATCTCGCTTGTTGGCCTTCTGCCCGAGGCCCGTCACGCAAACGCGATAGCCCACATCATAGTGCCAGCCTTTGAGGGGCAAGGCGCCACTTTGCTCAGCTACAGCGAAAGGCGCTGAAGGATGACTAAGCATCGGTCCACCCGGGCCCAAAGGAACATTTGTCATCGCCTTGGGTCGCAGCGGGTCGCACACAAAGAAAAATACCAGGAGTTCGCAGTTCGCAGTTCGTTGCAGCTGTCGTCTCTCGATCAATCGTGTGAGGAATAGAGACTCTGAGGTGCCAACGTGCCGCTGCGCCGAGCCATGCAGACAAAAGGAGCAAGTTGTGCGGCAGCCCAAACTCTGTGTGGCCCTTCACCCTTACTGGTGCTCAACAACTTTCAAGACTCAAGGTGCATGTACATGAATGCAAGAGTGGGCTGACGAATGAAAGCGTCTTGGAATCTTTGGTGAAGTGTGCTGCAACGCAAAACAAATAACACCTTGCTCGGTGCGAAAGCCGTTCGCTGCATAATTTAAAACATAGAAAGCACCGTAGCTTCTGAATCTGTACTTGCATGATGCTTGCAGGTTCTTTCCTCGCACTAAAACCGCGCGACTCGAGAAGTTGAGAGGAGACATCCAAGCGGTGCGGTCACAAAGCACAAAGTGCCTAGTCTGCCCGAGAGAGCCCTGCCGAGTTGACATATATCGGGATCCAAAGGGTGCTTCCAGTGAAGGATGTCCCCAAAAACCGATGTCCTACCAAGTCACTTAGGGAATCGGGCCACCATCACAGCGCCCAAATACATGTTTTGCGGAAACCAGATATAAACAGTCGCCTGAGGTCTCGAAAAACTTTGGGTCTCGATCGCTGGCACCTTCCGTCCAAAGGCCCCAGCGGCTGCGATCGAAGCCCGTCACCTTGCAGCGCCTGCCCAGACGTGACCTGGCGATATCTGGGGGTCGTTCGTACCCTTCAACAAACAGACAAACAAACAAAGACAAGCAAACCAACAAAAACGGGTGCTCACGACCCAAATTGGTTTCGCTCTTGGTTTGCTGGTCTGTTTTCCGCGTCTTGCTGCTGTTTTGTTTTTGTCTTCCCCCCCATCCTCATCCCCCATCCTCCTCACGACCCAAACAAAAACCGCCTCCTGCTGCAATTCTTCTTTTGGTGCTTTCTCCCCTGTTCTCCTCGCGACCCAAAGGAAAAGCCGCGGGGTTTGCGCGGATCGCTCGCCTCCAGGCTGCCTTTGGCAACACGCTGAGCTCCGCTTCCCGGACCTTCAGCGCGGCCAGGTCCTTTGCCTTCACGCAGGCTTCTTGGGTAAGCCAAAAGGAAACCCCGTGCTTCTTATTTAAAAAAAAAGAAGCCAAAATGGGAGTAAAGAGTAATAAATGGTACTAAATGGTATTGGTCACAAATGCTAATACTAGTAATAATAAATAGCAAAAACCAAATAATTGATAGTGATTCAGTGATAATAGAAATAGTAATAGAAAAAATAGCAAAATAATTCATAATAACAAAAATAATAAACACTTGATACATAAATGTATCTTTTTTCACAGAAGTTTGGGGCAAACCACTTCTCCCACCTTAAGTGACTCATGGGTTGTAATGATTTGATTGGACGCTCGCGAGAGCGATCGGAACCAATCGGGTATGCTTTTTCACTCAGAAGTGAGTGGACATGAATCCCCACCTACACGATGTCTATCAAAGGGTCACCAGCTAAAAAATCACACCCAATTCGTTTGTAAGAGCTCAAACGAAGCCCCCGACTATTGCTCTTTTGAGCTGCAAAATGAAGCTCCGCCCTGAATTCCTCCACTTTCAGGGGGCGGGGGCTCTTCATTTGGCCATGGGTACCCCCAAGAAACCGCTGGGGGAGTCTGCCGCTGTCGCCTCCTCCTGAGGGCCATCACACCGGTGCCGTGCCACACCCTGCGAATGATTCGGCTCGGAGGGCGTCTCCGCTTTTGGGGTGACGTGTCAGTACCTGTAAGACGAAAAGGGTGCTCCTTTTCGCCTGGTTGACGTCAAAAAGGAGACATTCACTGCAGAAAACCTGCCTTTGGCAGAATCTACCAACTCAACACGGCCGCGCCAACGCGCGCTGTATGGCGCTTTGGAGCGCTCATGGCGGATACAGGGTGCGCATGGCGAGGGCAAAAAAAAACAACTCAACAAGTGGATGTTGCGAGTAGATCCCGCTGAAGCGCCTGCGCCCACTCGAACAGCGCGGCTGCCCCGGGATTGGCGCGACGGACCTCGTCCACCTGCCGGCAGGGCTCTACCCGTTCCCTGTGCCAACCCCGTGGACCCGCTTCATCTTAAGCAATTTGACGCAAAAACATGGCTCTCCCTTTGGCTTCCCTTTAAGCTAAAACTTGACCCAAAAAATGGTGGTTCTCCCTCTGGTTTCCCTTTAAGCCAACCCCAAATATGGTACGTGCTAACCTCAGAAACAAACCGGACCCTATTGAATATCTACTCAATTTGGGATGGGGGTCTCATTCTTTCTGTCGTGCGAACGCATGCGCCTGCATACCATCCAGCAATGCCACGACACTGTGGGCTGTCTCCAAGGAAACGCTTCTGGCCTCACGGGTTTCTTTTATCTTTGCTTGAGCAGCGCTCGAAACCCATTGATATTTGAGTGCAGCTCAAAAATCTAAAGAGCTGGGGTTTTCCATTTACCTAGGGGCCATGTTGGGTACTTTTTTTGAGCCACAACCATTTGGTGCTAAGATGGTTATGGTCTTTCTTCGCCTTGCCAAGAAAAAACACTATGAACTCGGGAACCGATGCCCCTTTTGGGAATCGGTTTTGGGTCACTGTCCACACACACACCTTGGCGCCCGCACGTCAAAGAGCAGAAGCTCAGTCCGCAGGGTCGGCGAACGGAGCACCTTCAAGGGCACGGCACCGAAGCCGCTGGCCAGCTGCTGCTGTTCCCCCCAACTCATCCTTCACTCTCGAACATGAACATGGGTGCCAGAACTTTGGTGGTTTCCCTTTAGGTGTCCCTTTCAAGCCACAAAACAGATCATGTTATTAGGGGGCTGTTCCCCTCCAAAAGTGGGCTGATTCCAACCACTAAGCCCAGATATGAACACCCCTTTCATAAACTGGGTTTGATGAAATGTTTTCACCATTTCCGTCACAAAAAGGACAACCCCCACGCCCATCGCCTGCAGGAGATGACCCCAGCGCGCCGCCGGCGCCCCGCCTAGTCAAGCGCCGCGCGGGGTCGACCCCTTTCCCTTTCGGGCAGGGAATGGAATCCACTTCTGTGATACAACAGAAAGGGCTTCTGAAAGACTATGTCTTTCATATAAAGGGGGATTCCCTTGTATCACAGAAGTGGGGATGAACCCCTTGATCCCACAACCCTGCTTTCAGGAGATTGTCACCGGTCCTTCAGTCAGTACCATCCCACCCATCCACATGGAACCTGACAGGATATAGTCGATTCAACAGGAAGTGTTCCAAGGCACCCCCGCGAGAACGTCAGCTTTTATGTTAATTGGTGGGAGGGTATTTGGAGTGGGGGGGGAACCCTTGTTCTCGTCTCTTCCCGACGGAGACCAGAAAATCTGAAAGCTGATGGAGTCTGAGGTCTCCCGCTGAGCTCTACGGGGCTCTCTTGCCGGAGCAAAGCCACGGCGTGCAAGACCTTCCTGGGCTCTCAGAAAGGGGCGTGTGTCTGTGCGTCGGTGCGTATTTTGTGTTTTGATGTTTGTTTCAGTTTTCTGTTGTGTTGTTGCGTGTTTGCTTTTTTTCTGTTTTCTTTTCTCGTTCTCTTCTTCTTCTTCTTCTTCTTCTTCCTCCTCTTCTTCTTCTTCTTCTTCTTCTTCTTTTGGGGGGGAGTTAAAGCGAGGCCAAATGAGTACGTGTCAACATACGGCTCCCTTTAAACCAAGTCACCAAGGATGCCCTCAAAAGAACACACAGCCAAGTGGAAAACCGCCCGTTTGTTGGGCTCCTATATTTTGATGCACGAGCCGTTGCCAAACGGAGCCGATTCCCAAAATGGGCGGCTTGGCCCCCAAAACAAGGCAGTCTTAAAAGGAGATGACGGGCTTTGGGTTTCATGCCAAGGGAGTACCTTTGGTTGCAAACCCCACCCTTTTCGCTGTTTGAGGGATTTTTTTTTGGCTGGTCCAAAAAAGGAAAACCGAAGCATCTCTTTTCTTGGTGGGGGTCCAACCCTGAAAGACACACCCGACGCCTGGGACCCTGGGACCCAGGCCGAAACCTCCGCTTGGCCCCCCCGCTCGATCCGGGCGTCGGGCTGGCGGATGCTTCTCAAGGCCCACAGCTCCGACTCCGGGAGCTGGCGCCTAAGCAGTTGACGTGCACGTCGGCACGTCGTCGGGGCGGCCGGGGGGGGGGGGGGGCCTTTCGACAAAAGGGGGCTCGGCAAATTTGGGTTTTGGGGTGTCCATATACTAACAAAAAAAGGTGCCCTTCAAAGAAGACGGACCCTTCTGACAAGTTTGCGGGTCACAAAGTTGACCCCTTTCGAGCACTTTTGGGCAAGGAGTGGTTGCTCACTTGATCTCGTGGATTATCAGATTCCAGCTTGAAGAGCCGGATTTCCTTTCGGGACCCCACTCCTTTTGATCGCTCAGGACCCGGGCAACTTCTCATCATTGGCCATCCACAAGCGCACGTCTCCACCTCCGAGGGAAGGCCTCGCAGGACTGGGATCGATCGCTTCGAAACCCGACCCACGAAAAACCGGGGGGCCGGGCAGCGAGCGGGGCTTGTTCATCGAGGTGTGGTAGAGGAAGTGGTTCGGTCCATATTTGGTGGTCACCTCGGATCATGTCTCTCCTTGACCAAATTTGGTGGACGGCAACAATACATAGGATGCTCCACCAATGTAGTTGTGGAGGAGCTCCAATTTGGGGGTGTGTTGTTGACAGTACCCCTTTGTGTATTTCGAGTGAACCCAAAAGGAACACACCACAACTATGCAGGGTCCCTAAAAACCGGATGCCATCTACGCCATCCTCTACCACTCATGTTCCAGAGCCGGCTGACTGAGGCCACAGGCGCGCGGCTCCGGAAGCGGCGGCAAGAAGCTGAAGTCGAAGTGGAGGGGCCGCTTCTCCTGGAGACTTCCCGATGGGGAGGCGCTTGATGACCCCAACTGTGGTGGAGTTGTTCCCAACAAAACGTGCTCTACCCAGCTCAGGCTTAGGGGTGGTGGGGTTCCCCCCAAAACGTGCTATAACTCCATGGGTCTATGGGGGTTGCTCCAACATGGACCCCCTTTCTCCCTTGGGTTTTTCTGTTGGCTCCTGCTGTGGGCACGGGGGAAGCGGCGCTTCGCCCCCCATGGCCTTCTTGATGTTGGCCAACAGGTCCTAACAGGTTTGCGTTTTTCGCGAGGCCAAGAATCTGCTGCACTCGAAAAATCAGAGAGAGGGAGTCTCCGCCACCTACCGAAACCCGTAAGCGCCCTTCACATGCATAGGGTCCGCACACCAAGCACAAACCGCACGACTTGTTGCGCATTGCCCAAAGCCCAATGGAATTCCTCCTCTAAGCATCACAGAGAAAAGATGGGAAAGCCACAATTGGCCCAAATCGTAATGGTTCAATCCTACCTAAGGGAGATATCCCAAATATAGCCAGCCCCCCCCCCCCCCGCTCCCCCTCCCGGTACAAAGGGCTTGTCGCACTGTCCAGAACGGTCCAACACACCTCCCCCCAAACCCTCCCCCCCACCCTCCAACCCCTGCCTTCCACCCACCACGCCCGGTCCCAGCCCCGGCCTTGCAGCGCTCCACCACCAGGCCATAGAGCTCCAGGCCCACCACCTCCAGCCCGCACCGCGGCGCCCCGTGGTCCTCAAGCTGCGTCAGCCGAAAAACACGTGGAACAACCTTTCCGGGTTGGTGGGGGGGTGGGTTGGGGGGGGTTGGTTGGGGGTGGGTTGGTGGGGGGGGAAGGGGGAGGGTTTGGGCCAGCAGCGAGGTTTGGGGGGGAGGGCTGGGGGGGGGGTGGAGGTATTGTGAACACGTCGGGTCCACTTTGAAATGTGCTTCATTGCTGCAAAATCTCTAAGAGTCCGTGGCACGGTAGGGCGGTGTTTCCCAAAAACTTGGGTGTGTTTTACCCCATGCTCAGTCCCTAAGTGCAAACTGCACACCCGGAAAAGCCCTCAATCAGCTCACACGGCTTAACTAGTACACACCGAGCGGCTGGTTCCTTGTGGTGTCCTTTGAAAACCGACAAGGGCATCCCTCCAACTTTGCGCACCCCACATGGCTGCGAATGTCAATTCGGTAAGTGTGGACATCAGAAATGCATGGATGTAGAAAAAACAACGAAACATTGCCAGGGGGATCCCTATTCGAATTCATAGCCATTGACACGCAATCACGCAAACGCACACAGCCACGCGCGCACGCGCGACTCGTGATCTCGGGCCTGCCAGCGGCTCACCACCAGCAGGAGGCCCTGCAAAGCGAAGCGAACGCTGATAGCTTCGGGATCCCCCGTTGGTCATGGAAACCGAACGGAGAGAAACCGAGCCATGAGGCGTGGTTTAAGAAGATTGCCACGCAAAATCTCAACTCGTCTCCTGCAATGAGGCCCGCTTCAGGACACCGAGGATCTTCCTCGAAAGCGGAAAATGAGATGCCGCGGCGCGGAAAAAGCGGCACGTGAGAAACACGCCGCTCGCTTTCCTTCCTGCCCCCCCATCTTGGTATCCTGTTTACCGCCCGTAAAGAGTGATTCCCATGTCTGTCTTCTTTGGAGTTGAGCACCATGTTTGGTGGTTTCAAGGCGAAACCAACAGGGGGGGTCCAAAGACGCAACGGCCCCCAGGGCATCGCTGGGCGTCTCGGCTCGCCGCATCCCTCATCGATGCCATCCTGCAACAAACCCGTGCTGGAAATGGGTGCCTTTTTGTTCAGGAAACCATGTTTCTGGTGGCTCAAAAGGAAATTGAAAGGGAAGCGACAAATAACAAAAATGGGCGGGGGTCCTCTTTTAGAGACACACTCAAATGGATGGTGGGATGCATAACGTGGTCAAACGATCCTGGCAGGCTAACTTCTGGCTGAGGATGCTGCGATGTTGGGATGGGTATATGTCTTGCTGAAAATGATGCGTGCTATACTTGCGGCAAGCTCCACAAGTAAAGTGGAAGAAAAGGAACAAGACCGCGCCTGCATGCCTTCCTGCATACCTGGGCGCGTCTCTCTGGCGCTCAGATCAAGCAGCCAAGCCCCCCGAGACCCGCACCCGCAGGAGACTCCTGGCCAAGACGAACTCCGAACCTTTTGGCGGCCTTGTTCAAGGGTGCCCTCGGACAGAAACAACGGTAAAGGTGTCGGTATAGAAAGGAAATCAAACGAAAACTGGAAAGAAGAAAAAACAACTCTTCCACGAAAAGAGCAAACAATAACATCGCACACGCGCCGGCCTCCTGGATGGTGGTTTCTCGGAAGCGATAGCCATACGACCAGCCTGGGCATGCGTTTGGCATCCTCTCGGCCCAAACTACCCGGTGTTTCGCGGTTTCAAGTTGAACCCTCAAAACCCGATGGAAAAACAATCATCTCGACACGCTGGTTCGATAGGCAGGGAATGAGAAATGGAATGACATAGAGAAGAAAAAACAAACTTCGGTTCATTCCCAACACCCGGAGAACCCATGGTCATTCCCCACCTCTCGCACCGGAGAAAAAAAAAAAAAAAAAACGAATTCGCTTTGGGGCGCGGCTGGCCACGTCCTGGAAGGCGGCTGCTGCCTGGAAGGCCTGGGACCAAAAGCTCCGGAGTTCCCTGCCATTGGGATGGGCGCTGTGCTTTGGAGGCGATCCCCGCTCTGGTGGCTTTGAAGGGAGGCTTCTCATTTAGCCCTCTAGTAGCAGAGGCTCAAATCCCCAAAGCACCAATCCAAAGCACCAATTTAGGGTGACCGGAAGGGAAGCCAGAAGGAAACCCACCACGTCAAGGTCCCCTTTAAATGAAACGACGACCCAAGATCAGCTACCCTCGGATCCGTGGTTTAGAGGGTGTGGCTTCTCATTTACCAATCCAAACCGAAGTTTAGGTGACCGGAATTGAAGCAATGGTTCTGTTCCTCACACCAAAATGGGGAAGGTAGTTTCATCCTAGGGAAATAAATGGCTGGGATAATATACCCATGGTTTGCTGTTCAGGAGTTTCATCTAAATTGGGTTCCATGACCATTCTGTGGCATTTGGGGTACCCGAAGGGCCCACAAGGGAGTAGTTGCCTCTGGATTTGCCCATAGCCTTGGTTCACCGGTTAGCTGGTTAACCCGCTGCAAGGCAAGGCCAGAAGCAAAATACAACTGGGTGAAGATATGCTATGAACATGAGCCACCTCTTGGGACGGTCATTCACAGAAATCCGTGCAAAAAAAGAAATGTGTATATGCATAATTTATATACCTACCACCTACCACCCCTCGTGAACCACAGGCCTGCGAAGTTAAAAAAAAAAAAAAAAAAAAAAAAAAAAAAAAAAAAAAAAAAAAAAAAACGCGTCCTCCATGACTCTGGAGATGTCCTCAAGCTTAGTCACGGCGCAGACGTGGGCCTGCCTGGGCGCTTGGCGCTCGCTTGCCCTTTGGCGCAAGGAGGTCACACTGGGCCCAGGGCAGCGAGCCGCCCCGCACCTCGCGGAGGGGTAACTCCCTAACCGGTGACAAAGGGAAGCCTCGAAAAAGCGCGGAGCGCTTTTCTGGTGGTTCAAATGTGCGACTCTGACGTCCCCCCAAAACCCAAAAAAATGACAGGCCGAAAAATGTGGACCCAACCTCGAAAGACTCCGCGTTATTCTTACACACTCCAAGCTTCCGCGAGTCCAATGGTCTCCCACGCCTCCTTCCGCAGCCCAGAAGTCAAGGTCTGCAAGGGATCCGCATCCTCGGAGGCGATCGCACTCTTTCCCTTGCACCTTGAACCGAAGGCAAGGCCCCTGGCAGTGTCTGGCTCCAAACGGCGAGCCTGCAGGATTGTCGGCACATTTGCTGGAGCTCCAAGACATATGTGCTCTGGTCATGAGCGCCTAGGAACCATTCAGCCGACACTCGAAATTCCCTTGGGTTGGAATCGGGCGGTTGGACTATGTGTCTTCCCACCTGCACCAGTTCCTGTATCTCGAACTCTGAGCCTCTCACCATCAGGTCCCTTTGGCAAGGTCCATGGCTCCCGATACTACATGGGATCGATTTTGAGGCTACCCTTCTCAGCTGGTGAGGGCAACCTATATGAAAATGGTGACCATTTCGGGGTCGGCCGCTGTCTCTCTCCCTCCGGCCACCTAGCTTTCCGGCATGCATTGGGCCGCAACGCATCTTTGGCGCAATTGAATTCGGTGAAAACTCCTTGAGCCGCATATGCATCATCATAGATATCATGCATTGCTTTCGATGGTCTCCACTACCCTGAAACCACCCCAAATGGAACGTGGGGGTGGCATTTTTAGCAATACATGCCGAACAAAGAATGGTCACTCCCGGCTTCTCTTGGAGTTCGAAGCCTGGGAAAAACGAAAAACAAAAAGAAAAAAAACACAACTCCAGTCCGCAGCTCGCGGAACCACACGGCACGGCACGTGCGGAACCACAGAACCGCGGAGCCACCGCCTTGTGACTTCAGATGCGTGACGTCTTGCGGCATAAATATGGGTGTGTGCGTCTCAGGGAACCCCCCCCCAAAAAAAAAAAATGGTGGGGGTTTCTTTCGGTGTCCAAATTACGAAAAAAAGAAGAAACTGTGCCTGGGCGTGCTCGCATGGCAGGTGAGACCTACTCGATTCATATCTGCCAAGGCCTGGCGCGCGAGCAACCAACACCCACTGAGGCTGTGAGAAATGGAATCCCCTTCCAGGCAAACTGGCTGTGGTTGTCAAAACTAGGGCAACCCCCAAATGGGTTGCCCGAGTAAGTGGAAAAATAACCCAAATCTGCGGTCCCCTTGTGGGTTAATTTTGACCCATACCCACCTGATAATGGCCAATGAGAGGGGGGGGAATGCGCTCACATGCCCGAGCTCGTTCAATCCCATCAGTGAGCTTCTGCTGAGATCAGGGCCACCGGTGAATGCCATTTGGGCACAGCCTGAGGTACCCCCTCAAGAAGCTGCACTCACCATGCAAAATGAGCGAGCAAAACAGTGAAATGATTCTAACGAAAAATCCGTGCCAACTTTTCATTTGGGTGCATTCCTGTATGACAGCTCACACAGAACTTCACTGGACTACGCGTCCTTGCCAAGAATCCCAAAACGTGCTGCTTGGCTCACATGGAGAAATGTGACAGCAATATGTCTGACCGGGCCATCAATGGCTCAACAAGATTAACATCTGAGACCGCATTCCCTGCGTCTTTTGGCGATAAGCATGCGTGGTCGATCTACAACTCAGCTGCTTTGCAGCATGGGACAATCTGGCAAGCCCAGTCAGTGCGAAAGCATCTCTGAGAAAAGAACACATGCTTGAGCAGAAAGTTCAGCCAAAGTGGACACGCACTGGGAAAATGCCGGGTAAAATCACAAGGCAGCCACTGCCACGAGTTGGGCTGCTGTCTAAACACGCGTGCACGCCCAAAAGCACCTGTTGGCTTGCAGCCCAGCCGTACAGCGACGACTCGAATTGACACGAATTGACGCGTCAGAGCACTCCAAGGGGTGGACCCAACAAACCCACGCCTCGGCAGCCCATCGCCTGCGCTCGAAAAACGCAAACGCCCGATCTCCCTCCGCCAAAGATCGCCAATCGCTCGCGCCTCAGACCCTCTCTGCCTTCAGACTTTCTGAGTCGGAGTTCTCCTCCCATCCCATCTCCTGCACGTGTCATAGTGATTTTTGAACTTGGGGTGCCCCGCACCCCCAAACAAAAAGGTGGTGTCCCTTTAAAGCCACCAAAATGGGGATTCCCTCCCAAAAACACGCCTCCCTTTTGATGGTCGGAACCCCTTCCCACCGCTTCCAACCAAAGTACCACGCGTCCTCGACCCCATCGTCTCGCCAGCCGCTCTTGGGTCCAACTCCGGCAGGACAGTGGCCTGAGTCGCAACCACATGGGTATTGCTCAAAATACAAGGGCTGGGGCTATGCAGGTTTCAGTCTTTTGTTCCACTTAGGTGCCATTGCGGTACATGTTGTTGAGTCGCAACCACCTCCTTTTCTGGGTTGGTGGTTGAATCCCCGCCGAAATGTGCGGTCCAAAGCGTCCCAAGCAGCTCAAACTCACGTGGGATGAAAACTCCCCCATCCAGTTTAATTTTGAGCCACGGCCACATACCAAATGCAACGAAGCGGAAGCCGGGTGCCCGGCTCTTGACATTCAAGGGCATGCCTCCGATGCAACTCTCCACGGGCGGCGGGGCGGGGACGGCGGGACGCCACGAAAATCTGAATGGGTGTCTCAAATCCCGGACCCTTCCGAGTGGTCCAAGGGATGTCCTAAGCCCTGGCTTGATCTCAAGAGGTCCGCTTTCCACAGCTTTCCGGCCGCCTTCGATGGGCATTGTGGGGAGTGATCCGCATTGAAACTCATGGCTTGATGATTTTGTTGGTTGAGGCTCGGTGCCCTTCTTGGATTCAAACGACTAACAGTGTCATCATAGTTTTGAGCAGAGCAACCCCAGTTGCCCCAGTCATATGGTTCTGACTCATCAGATCATCTGAGCTACTTCCTAGCTTGAACACCCAAGAACTACCCAGTTGGGGTTGTTCCCCCAACATGAGACATGGCCACTGTGCCACGACAAGGCCTGCTTCAGGCTCGCCGCCATAGGGCCGGGCGGATACCTGGCACGTGGATGCCTTAAAGAAAGAATTTGGATCCAAATGAGCTGAGTCACATTCAAAACCCGGTACTAAAATGGTCAGAGATAAGAGATGAGAGGATACAGAGATGATAGCAATGGAACGAGATAGAGGAGTGAAATGACAGTTGCCTTTAGACCTTTCTTCACTTCAATTGTCCCCGAAAGTTAAAGATAAGAAAGAGGAAGGTAAGAGAGGTGACAATATGAGGAAGAGAAAGGTCAGATGGTAACTTGTCTCCGTCCGTCCCTCTATTCTGACAATGGACGGGAGAATTAACAATGAAGGAATCCCAGCTTTCTTATCTGTATCCTGTTTACCTTCTCTGGAATGTCTTTGGGGTTTATGTTCATCCTCTTTTCGTCTCTCTAACCCACTCCTGCAAATCCTTGAATCGAAAGTTGGTGGGGAAAGGTGAAAGGCATTCCTCTATCCACACGACTCCCTTCGTCTCTTTACCGCTCACCTCCAAGCTCCTCACGTCCCTTGTCCATCACTTTTATCATTTCACTCTCCTGTGTACACCTCAAAGAAGAACTTCTGGAGAGTGAAAGGACAGTTTGATTTTGTTTTATCATCTCCCTCCTCTCAATCACCGCAAAGATAAAAGCTAACTAATAAAGCCATTTCCTATCACCTACCATATTTATCCACTCTTTCCCCAGTCTATGACTTTCTTATCTGTAATCATATTGTTGGATCAAGAACTGGGGCAAGGAGAAGGAATGAAGATAGCCAACTTCGGAATCTTTCATATGCTGTGCCAATATAATTCCCGGCAAATAATTCTATCATAGTAAAATAATTAAAAGAAATAAATAAATAATGAATACATACAAGAAAGAAAAGACATTAAGATGTGACATGAAAGTCTTTGCAGAGAGGTAGAGCATAGGAACTCATGTAGAAGCGATCCAATATTCAATACTGAATGATTTCCAGGACATGTCTGACCCAGAACCATGTAAAGAATTAAGAAGGCGGCCGCAGCTATTTATGGTTGGGATTGTCCCTTACTAACTTTCATCTACCCGGGTTTTGATTGTGGCTCAAATGAGCTGGGCGTCTGACTGGCCATGTATCCTTGACGTGAGTAGGGTTCGGCACTGTGTGCAGGAGTCTGTCCAGAAGCTTCGTGTTCTAACATGTTCTAAGTATCGATTTGTTTGCCTTGCCGTGTCCGCACAGTTGGCTCACAGATGGTGGCGAAGCCATCTTCAGCTACGGCGCTTTGAGTTCAAGCCTAACTGGCTTGCCATTTGGAATATGTGTTGAGCTCAGGTAAGTCTTGGCACACCACATTGAGAAGCATCATGAATAGGTGTTCTGTCCAGCTTGCTCTGAACCTTTGGTAGTTGCCGAGCTTTCTGGATCCCAACAGCACCCTACAGGAAAATACGCATTCAAGTCACGGCTTGTCTGCCTCTCGCACGAAGCGCGAGAAGAAAACACAGTGGCGGCCAGCTTTGCCATCTGGGTGCGGATTGGTACTAGGAACCCTGTGGTGGACGTCAGAACTCCCGGAACTTCACGTCCACCATTCCCCTACCTTAAGGTGGAGGGGGGTGGTGAGTCCCCAATTCCATTTATCTAGCCCCCCATAGAAGAGAAAATGGAACCACAACTGGAATTTAAGGGGTCACCCCCCCTCCCCCGATTCCATTCTTAAGGGGCTGGGGAATTGTCCACCCACCAACCAGAGCAGTCAGTTGCACAGGC